AATGTAGTATTCACAATAAAATATGTGGTAAATTAGAACACTCTTCTTTTTACTTTAGTCCACAAATGTGTTATTGTTTGTGATACACGTGATTAAAGCGTTTTATAGACGTTCAGGTCTGACTGGACCGATTTTGGACCTTTTTAGAACATTGGTCAAATTCAGATGTGCCTTTCACGATGTTGCACAATGGGTGTGTGATTATTTTATATGCAGGCTTATACTTAAATTATGCAGCAACACATCTTATAAACATCCAGAAGATGACACATTTAGACGTCCAGGGACGTGCAGAAAAGACGTGTAATTCACGGACAGAAGACGTCAAAGACGTCGGTTCAATTTTCATTTTGGATATATTTTTCAACCATGACGGGACGTGTCGGAGGGACGTCTTTTCAACGGTCATTAAACGTCCAAATGTTTGCTGGGAGCTGTCTGCTTGTAGACCAACTGGAGGACAGTTTTACTATTAGATCATTCAAAGAAACCTTCCATTTTCTCTGATTTTTTGCATCAGTTTATTCTACAGTATTTATTTTTAATAGTCACCCTATTTTACATACAACACCCTCTATTGTGGCTAATGCTGAAATACTCAGAAGTAGTCTATTGAAAAGAGCTGTAGAGGAACCGTGAGACCGCAGTTACTCGTGTCAAATTCTGCATTATCAGCTGAATATTTTTCCAGTGATTGGGTACGTACCAGTCCACAAAGATCTTGTAATGTAAGTTACAGAAGTGTTAAAAATCAGTTCAGTCCATTGAAACACTTATTAGAATTTTAAAAATATTAATTGAACCGATGTTTGAAATTATTTTTCTGCACCACAAGTTGAAAGAACTGTAAAGCTGATGTGTGAAGAAATTATGTTATATGGTTGAAGTAAATGTTCAGTTAAGAATAAAGTGCGGGGTTTTTTTCTTTCTCAAAAAAGTTGAGTTAGCATGGCTTTGACTCACTATTTTGCACGTCTCCTTTAAATGCTCGATCTCTTAAATATCTCAATATCTTGGATAGTCCACTTTAGACATTAATTATAAGTAATTTTGCAACTACATGCCAACCAATTCTCATTAATTCACAACTACATGTCTACTGACTCAGAGTAGACTGTTAGGTTAGTCGAATAAATTGACATATACTTGCAAAGATTCTTATAGTCAGTATGTTGTATGTTGTGGGCCCATCAAAGTAAAGTGTTAGAAGATATTAACAGACTCTACTCTAATGACTGCTAATTAACATGTAGTTGCAAAGTTACTTACTGTTAGTAGAATGTCTAAAATGGACTATCAAAATAAAGTGTTACCAAAAGTTCTGCAAGTGAGTAAGAGAATCTGTTGGATTAGTTAAAAATAAAAGAATGTCATCTGCAAAAAGTGATATTTTGTGTGTATCAGGGCCAATATCAAAACCTTTTATATTGGGATTAGTTCTAATTGCCTTGGCTAATGGCTCAATTGCCAACATGAAAAGGGCTGGGCTAAGTGGGCATCTCTGTCTGCATCCTCTAGAAAGAGGAAATGGAGCAGAGGTGATTCCATTGGTGACAATTTTAGCTTTAGTAGATTTGAAGTGATTGAATCAAGTCTATGAATTCTACAACAAAACCAAATATTTCAAGTATTGAAAATAAGTATGTCAAATGCCACACCAGAGCCTCACCACATCATAGCCGCCAGTCAAGAGCCTCTCCATAAAATGGCCGACAGCCGAGTCACTCCTCAAGATGGCTGCTAGCTCAGGGACTTTTCATAAGATGGCTGATAGCCCAGAGACTGTTCACAGAATGACTGCTAGCCCAGAGACTTCTTGCAAAATGGCTACCAGCCCAGAAACTTTCCACAAAATGGCTGCTGTTTCTGAGTCCCATTCTATCATGGCTGTCGTTCCAGAGTCTCGTCCCTTCATGTCTACCACGCATAGAAACAAAGTCTATATAGGCTATAGCATTTAGACAGCAGCGAATGATAGTAAGACGGAGATTCTGAAAGAAAAACAAAGCTACACGGAGCTACAATGCAAACCACTCAGCAATGAGGCAGACAGCAAACACCAGTCGCCACTATGGTGACTTCAAACTAAATTTGTCAATAAAACATCAACATCTAAACCTCTTTAATTCACAAAAAGAACTTTTGTATAAAATAAATAAAGTCAAATTGTAATAAGTGAAGTTGGTAATGCTGTTTGTGACGCTGTTTAATCATCCTCTGAGATCTTGAGAGATTTGATGTCTTCTTTTATTTCAGCTGATTTCATCTAAGGCTTTGGCTGGAAGTCAGTTTTAGTTGTTGTGTTTTTCTTTTTTCTGTTCTTGTTGTTTCACTTTCTTTTAGTGATTCTGCTTGTTAACAGCAGGTGTTCGTCTCTGAATTTGCTCGCTTGTTTCATTCACTCGTTGAGTGGACTATATGGAGGGTTACTGCCTTACAGTGTGTAGTTTACGTGCCCTGAATGTTGTCATGTGCTTGCACCACCTGTGCATGTGCTGACCATCACACCAAGCAGACTTCGGGAAAAAGTTGAAAATATTCTGAACAGAGGTGAAAGACTCACCTAGACCTTGTTTCTAGGCCACTGTATTTACTCTGCCTAAAATATTGTTTTCATTTGTCATCCATCTCCAAACAACGATGCATATTTTTCTGCATGTGTTTTTGTGTGTGTGTGTTTGGAATGACTTGAAAGTCTAGTAGTGTATGATCCTCAGTCAATTAGTGTATGTCAATGTTTTCCTGTGTTCTCCTTAGCTGCTCTTGTATCAGTTGATACAATGCACAATATCTGGAGTTGAGTCAACAGCGTGGCATGTGTACCCACCCAGAACATCGGGCACTGGGCCACAGCTTAGAGTTGTTTGCATTCTCTACATGTTGTGGCAAGAACATTGTGTACATGTTAAATGTATTCACAACCGAAAGTGTTTTAACACTTTAGGAAACAAAGTCTTGCCTAAAGAACAAATACATCTGGCAATATAACATCATCTTTCTTTTTGAAAACAAGCTGCTTTTTTTATTGTAATGAAATATAACAGGTTGCACTGACAAGCAACAATTAGAAATGGCAAAGGTGCTGATGTGTTCTGATCACGATGAGAAGCTTAAACTGTTCTGTAAGACTTGTCAGAAGCTGGTGTGTGTCATCTGCAGGGATGGAGACAAACATGCAAGACACGTCTTTAAACCAGTGAAAGAAGCTGCACAGATCAACAAGGTAAACACGGCCATTTACATATGAGTCAATTCTGACTTCCTGATGAAAGCACTGCAGCTTAAAAGCTCCTTTCTTGCTTTCAAGTGTCTTTCAGCCTTTGTTATTTGTGTGATGTTGTTGTTCATATCATGGCATACAATTATGTTTCTAAATTTGAATTTCAGGATGATTTAATTTTATAAATGCAGAACTTCATTTTCTTTTTGCTTTCATTATGCTTTTCAAATCATGCCTGATTGGTATCTTTTGTTCTGTAGATGGTGCTGAAGGCTGCTTTAAATTTTCTTGATAAAGAAAACGGACAATTCAAATCCTTGATCCACAAACAGAAAACTGAGATCACCAAAACGGAGGTATCAAGGCATTTTACCAAAGAGATCTCTTTTAGCATTTGATATTTAGCATGTTTATTTATATTGAATTCATTTATGTGAAGAATGTTTTTCACTATTTAGGATGAATCCAAAACCTTATTAGCAAAAATCTCTGCTCAGTTTGAAGAAATGCACCAGTTTTTACGACAAAAAGAGGCAGAGGCGAAGAAACAGTTGGAGAACGAGGAGGAGAAAGTTATAGAAGTCATGCAGAAAAACCTGTCCATGATTGACTTGAGGTTTACAGAGAGCAAAAAGAATGAGGATATTCTGCAGCCAGCCTTGGAGTTTGATCAGCCCGATCACTTTCTACAGGTTACAACAGGACATATATTTTTTAAATGGTGTAAAAAAGGGTTATATAGATGTAAATAAAATTATTTATTGATTTATCTGTCTGTATTTATGCAGTGGTGGAGTGAAACAGGACTTAAACAGACAGAGGCCATGCAGACAGGCAATGGGACACCATCAAATACTCAGTAAATAATATGCAGTGCTGTTATTTAGACCTAAATCACATCTGTGTTCACTCTTGGGTAGAATTGAAGTTTCTGATGCTGACATGACTTTGTTTCAGGTATATGTCAAAGGTGAATGATCTTATTGTACGCACTGGTTCCTTCTTCCTTGGCCCCCATGAAACTCACCTGCAGTTCTTTGTGTGGAAAGAGATGCTGGGATCCATCAAACCAGGTGAATAATATGACAAACAAGTATTTTGTAACAGCTAACGTAAAACCACAGTAACCACAAGTTTACTATTATTTCAATATAGTAACCATATTTTAACCATGATGTAAAACCACTGTAATAAATTCATAATCTATCTGCAAAAAAAAAAAGTATTATTATAGTTGTACTAGTCCTACCTTGGTTGTTTTTCATTATGCTTTCTGTCACATAACACACTGTATTTTGGATCAGTGACACTCAGTGACAATGACACACTTTCTTTGTCATGATCTATAAAGTTTAAATTGCAATTTATGCAATAAAAACATCTAAACATTGAAAACATACATTTTATGATGAACATGGCCTAAATCTCAGAATGATAAGTTATGGAGTAAAACTATCATAACTCTGTAGATTTTGTTAATATAGAAAAAAGTTAAAAGGTCGAGCTGTGAATCCATTTTAATTTAAAATTATAATATTTGAAAATCCTTTGCCTGCCTTTTTGACATTTGATTTTAATGATTTTTAATAATTTTTGACATCCTTTGTCACTGACACATTTGTAGTGCAAAGACTGCTATAGTTGATTAAATATATGCAAGAAAAACCAATCACAATTCACCAAATACATGTTAAGAAATAGATCAATCGGAATTAGCTATGCAAATATTTTGTTGAGGTAAATCAGTTGGAAATGTTAATCTTTTCTCAAAAATATAATAAAAATATATACATTTAAAACTGAAACTGTGCTTAGCAGTTAATTACAGCAATTAATTAGGGGCCAAGCACCGAAGGTGAGTGGGCACCTATTGTATCTGTTGGTGTTCTTCTTCTTCTCCTTCTCCTTCTTCTTCTTCTTCTTCCGCTCTCGAGTCTATGGCAGCTCATAGAACCGTTTGTGGGAAAGTTGTGAAATTTGGCACACTGATAGAGGACAGTCAGAACAGTCACCATAGCAAATTTGGAGTCTCTTACTCAAACTCTCTAGCGCCACCACTTGTCCACAATTTTACTCATGTTTATGCTAATAACGTTTGAACCGTAAGGCACAGAAGGAAAATTATTTGTTTCACCTGAATCTTTGGCCCATGAAGTCCAAAATTAGAAAATTGTAAGGTTTAGTTTTTTCGTTATTTTAAATTGTTCGAAAAACCTACTTTTTCGAACTCGTCCTAGACAGTTTGTCTGATTTTCACCAAAATTGGCTCAGATCATCTTCAGACCATGCTGGCAAAAAGTTATGGAATTCAAGTTGATTCGTCCAACCGTTCTCGAATAACGCGAGAACGAATCCAACAAAAAGCTCGCATAAATGGATCTGAGGCTGTATCTCTGCAATGGTTTGGCGTACTGACACCAAACTTAGTGTGTGTTATAACAAGCATGACCTGAGACTACCTGCAGTGTTTCGGTGCTGTGCCACCTAGTGGTCAGGAGATATGAAAAATGCATATTTTTGCTTATAACTTCTGAATGTTTTGGCCCAAAATCACTGGTCTCTTTAGATTAGGTGCATCATGCCAAGTCAAATGATACCCAGTTTTCACATGTCAGCTATTTTGGGCGTCGGCCATTTTGAATTTTGTAGTAAAATGCTATATTGCAAAAAGAATGAGGATATTCTGCAGCCAGCCTTGGAGTTTGATCAGCCCGATCACTTTCTACAGGTTACAACAGGACATATATTTTTTAAATGGTGTAAAAAAGGGTTATATAGATGTAAATAAAATTATTTATTGATTTATCTGTCTGTATTTATGCAGTGGTGGAGTGAAACAGGACTTAAACAGACAGAGGCCATGCAGACAGGCAATGGGACACCATCAAATACTCAGTAAATAATATGCAGTGCTGTTATTTAGACCTAAATCACATCTGTGTTCACTCTTGGGTAGAATTGAAGTTTCTGATGCTGACATGACTTTGTTTCAGGTATATGTCAAAGGTGAATGATCTTATTGTACGCACTGGTTCCTTCTTCCTTGGCCCCCATGAAACTCACCTGCAGTTCTTTGTGTGGAAAGAGATGCTGGGATCCATCAAACCAGGTGAATAATATGACAAACAAGTATTTTGTAACAGCTAACGTAAAACCACAGTAACCACAAGTTTACTATTATTTCAATATAGTAACCATATTTTAACCATGATGTAAAACCACTGTAATAAATTCATAATCTATCTGCAAAAAAAAAAAGTATTATTATAGTTGTACTAGTCCTACCTTGGTTGTTTTTCATTATGCTTTCTGTCACATAACACACTGTATTTTGGATCAGTGACACTCAGTGACAATGACACACTTTCTTTGTCATGATCTATAAAGTTTAAATTGCAATTTATGCAATAAAAACATCTAAACATTGAAAACATACATTTTATGATGAACATGGCCTAAATCTCAGAATGATAAGTTATGGAGTAAAACTATCATAACTCTGTAGATTTTGTTAATATAGAAAAAAGTTAAAAGGTCGAGCTGTGAATCCATTTTAATTTAAAATTATAATATTTGAAAATCCTTTGCCTGCCTTTTTGACATTTGATTTTAATGATTTTTAATAATTTTTGACATCCTTTGTCACTGACACATTTGTAGTGCAAAGACTGCTATAGTTGATTAAATATATGCAAGAAAAACCAATCACAATTCACCAAATACATGTTAAGAAATAGATCAATCGGAATTAGCTATGCAAATATTTTGTTGAGGTAAATCAGTTGGAAATGTTAATCTTTTCTCAAAAATATAATAAAAATATATACATTTAAAACTGAAACTGTGCTTAGCAGTTAATTACAGCAATTAATTAGGGGCCAAGCACCGAAGGTGAGTGGGCACCTATTGTATCTGTTGGTGTTCTTCTTCTTCTCCTTCTCCTTCTTCTTCTTCTTCTTCCGCTCTCGAGTCTATGGCAGCTCATAGAACCGTTTGTGGGAAAGTTGTGAAATTTGGCACACTGATAGAGGACAGTCAGAACAGTCACCATAGCAAATTTGGAGTCTCTTACTCAAACTCTCTAGCGCCACCACTTGTCCACAATTTTACTCATGTTTATGCTAATAACGTTTGAACCGTAAGGCACAGAAGGAAAATTATTTGTTTCACCTGAATCTTTGGCCCATGAAGTCCAAAATTAGAAAATTGTAAGGTTTAGTTTTTTCGTTATTTTAAATTGTTCGAAAAACCTACTTTTTCGAACTCGTCCTAGACAGTTTGTCTGATTTTCACCAAAATTGGCTCAGATCATCTTCAGACCATGCTGGCAAAAAGTTATGGAATTCAAGTTGATTCGTCCAACCGTTCTCGAATAACGCGAGAACGAATCCAACAAAAAGCTCGCATAAATGGATCTGAGGCTGTATCTCTGCAATGGTTTGGCGTACTGACACCAAACTTAGTGTGTGTTATAACAAGCATGACCTGAGACTACCTGCAGTGTTTCGGTGCTGTGCCACCTAGTGGTCAGGAGATATGAAAAATGCATATTTTTGCTTATAACTTCTGAATGTTTTGGCCCAAAATCACTGGTCTCTTTAGATTAGGTGCATCATGCCAAGTCAAATGATACCCAGTTTTCACATGTCAGCTATTTTGGGCGTCGGCCATTTTGAATTTTGTAGTAAAATGCTATATTTTACGAACGCATTGACGTATCGTTACGAAACTTGGTATGGGTAATCAGCAAGATGCCCGGAAGGAGCCTGAGAAGTTTTGAGCCAGCGCCACCTAGTGGTAAAATCAAATATTCACATGCTTATAACTTTGGGTGTGGTCGACTTATTTTCACGGGAGTCATCTTTTTAGACTCCTGAATCCTAGCCGAGTCCAGTGATACCAAACATGCCAGGTTTTGTCTTATGGTTTGTGCAACATTGCATTTTAGCGCTTAAATAATATTTGCCAATATTTTAGAAACCCTTACTCTGATCGACACGAAACCACCATAGGAAATTCGAAAACATAGCATGCCGGCTACACATTAATGCCCAATTGCCAAAATTTTGATAGTAAGTGGCAAAAAAAATGCAAACAAAGTCAGCCATCAGTCAATTTTTTTCTGTTCTCATATAAAAATGTCTATAACTCCAAAACAAAATTAGATATTTTCCCCAAATTTGACACACATATGTATGGGCACACTCTCAGGACACATAAAAAATTTGGTGGGATTGTGCCTCTTGGTGGCGCTATAATTGAGCAAAACATGAAATTGCCATTGACTACAATAGAGTATTATGATATAAAATGCTATATTTTACGAATGCATTGGTGTACGATTATGAAACTTTGTATGTATCATCGAGACAATGACCTGAAAGTACTCAAAAAGTTTTGAGACAGTTAAGTTATAATGTTATAAAGTTATAATGAAATTTCTAAAAATGCTAATAGCTTTCTGTGAATTTTGCCTATTGTAATGAGACTGGTGTTAATAGATTCCTTGGGTCGTGCTGAGAACAGTGATACCAATGTTGCCATAGTCAGCCAAACTTCCTGTCCACCATTTAGACAGGTGTTGCATTTTAGCACTTAAAAAACATTTGCTAATATCTTAGAAACCGTTACTCCGATCGACACGAAACCACTGTAGGAAATTCGGAAACATAGCATGCCGGCTACACGCGAATGCCTAATTGCCAAAATTTTGATAGTAAGTGCCAAAAAAATGCAAACAAAATCAGCCATCAGTCATTTTTTCTGTTCTCATATATAAAAATGTCTATAACTCCAAAACAAAATTAGATATTTTCCCCAAATTTGACACACATATGTATGGGCACACTCTCAGGACACATAAAAAATTTGGTGGGATTGTGCCTCTTGGTGGCGCTATAATTGAGCAAAACATGAAATTGCCATTGACTACAATAGAGTATTATGATATAAAATGCTATATTTTACGAATGCATTGGTGTACGATTATGAAACTTTGTATGTATCATCGAGACAATGACCTGAAAGTACTCAAAAAGTTTTGAGACAGTTAAGTTATAATGTTATAAAGTTA